GCCGGTGCGTAGGCCCCTGTGCGGCCCACCGCAGGCACACACACTCTCCGCCCGCACGCAGCCACACCGGCCCGCGGCCTGTCCCGCTCCCCCGGGCCCCCGTCCTGGGCTCGAGTGGGCGCCCACCGTCTGCACAAGTGGGACTTGGCCTTGGGGCCAGTTCCCCACATGGGGTCCTTGACATCTGGGTTGGCAGTGGGACGTAGGTCTGGAGGCTCAGACGGGCCTGGGTGGCCACAGGAACCAGACTCCCCCCCATGTTCCTCACACCGAGCGGCTTGGTCTCGTGAGCCAGGCTCTGCGGGTGGCCTGGGTGTGTCCCGCAGCATGACGGCCAGCCCTGGGCTCCATGCCCCCCATCATGGCTGCAGCCCCCTCTCCCGTCTCAGCCAGAACAGTGGAAGGCACAGGCGGGCGAGTTTGTGCTTTGCTCCTGTGGTAAAACCCTCAGAACAGGGAGGGGCCGTGCCCGGTCAGAGACCCTGGGCCCTGCAGGGCGGGTCAGGGCCGCAGGACAGCTGGCTGCAGGCCGCCAGCGCGGGAGGCAGGGTGGCCATGCGGGCCAGTGCCTGGCCCGACGGGTGGGCGAGCGCTGGGCCCCGCGCAGGCGCCGGCGCAGGGAGAGGCCTCACTGTCCCCGCCCTTCCGTTCCAGTTCGACAAGTACCCGCCCAAGCTGGACAGCCCCTACTTCCGACATTCCAGTGTGAGTGTCCTGCGACTCTGTCCCCCGACAGGTCTGCTGGGCGGGGGGCTGCGACCGCGAGGCCCCGTCTGCATTGCCCCCTGCCTCGGGCAGAAGCAGGGGCCGGGGGGCTGGGCCGCACCCCTCCGCACCCCTGGACCACCCTCCCTGCTTCTTTTGCAGTTTTTCCCGCCCGTCCCGGGACTGCCCGCCCTGCTCCCACACCCGGGCCCCTTCGGGTCCCTGCAGGGCGCTTTTCAGCCCAAGGTACCGGCTGTTCCTGGCAGGCGGGGCGGGCACGGAAGGTCCTGGGGGGGGGTGTGGCAGCATTCAGGGAGGACACTGTGGACATAATGTCTCCCGAAGGGACTCAGTCCGGATGCAGACTGCCCCCAAGCCCCAGCCTGGACAGCAGCTGGCAGGGTCCGTGAGGGCCGTGCCCTGTGCACCCCACTCCGTCAGCTGGGGTGCCCAGAGTCGGGGGGGGGGAGGAGCAGTGCGGCAGTGTGGGCCAGGCAGGGCGGGCAGCACACGGGGGCCCCACCCAGACCCAGGCCCCGCCGTGGGAGCACGGGAGGCCCCTTCACCACCGCAGACACCCCGAGAAGGCGTGGGGGGGAGCCAGCACAGGTGCCAGCCCCTCCCTGAGTGTCGGCAAGCAGGACAGCACAGGCAGGGCGAGGACACGGGGCCTGGGGTCTCACAGCCGTGTCACGCCCTGCTGCCCCTGTCCCCGCAGACCTCAAACCCGATCGAGGTAACCGGCCGGGCCAGCGCTGTGCACACCCTGCTCCAGAAGGGCCCCGGGGTAGGTGGCCGCGGTCCCTGTCTCTCCCTCCCTGGGGGCGTCATGCCAGCCCAGCTCCCCCTTGTGGGGTGCCCGCCCCCCAGGCTCAGCTGCCTGTAGAACCTGGACCTCACGTGTCCTTCTCGATGACAGGTGTCTGACCCATACCGGACGGCAGTCAGGGTGAGTGTGTGCACGTCTCTTTGGGAGGAGGGGGTGTCGTGGGACCCCCGGGAGGGTACCCTGTGGCGACAGGAGTTGGGGATGACAGTGTGAGGGGCGTGAGGGGGTGCAGGCCCGGTGGCCGAGTGTGTTGCCTGTCCTGTCGCAGAAGCCGGGGAAGTGGTGTGCGGTGCACGTGCAGATCGCTTGGCAGATCCACCACCATCAGCAGAGGATGAAGGTGAGCCACACCCACAGGTGCTCACACGTGTGCACACGTGTCTGCCCCCCGCTCTCACGCGGGGCTGGGCTGGGATGTGGGGGGCGGGGCCAGGGAGGAGGCGGGATGGTGGTTCATGGGGAGCCCAAGGGTGCTGCTCACAGGTGGGTGGGGTGGCCAGGTCACCTGGTGAGCCCAGCAGGGGGCGGGGGGGCGTGAGTAGG